ACACCCATAATGCCCCTCCACAATTCCTTCCTTTATTCACTTGTCCATGAATTCCGCATTTTCACCATGGTCACTGATTTGATGTTTGAATGGCACCAGGAATTAAGAAAAGTTTATCATTCCCAACTTGTTACTTCCATGACTGCATAATCCTCCAACCTTGCTATAACATCTGGATCCTCCATCTTAAAAGCACCCACCTCAAATAAGCAAAATTCAAATAAACCAAAACAATTCTTGCAATTCATATCCCGAAATTCAACACAGTCCAAAACTCCTAGCATGTCCACAATTCATCCCCATCGCCCTGCGAAGATCCCAGGTCGTCCAGCGAGGGATACATGGTAATATACCACTCATTGACACGGCGTTCCACACTTGGAGCAGACCTTTCCTCTAATCACCCAGCTTTCGACGCCTGCTAACTCACATGTAGGGCATTTAACCCCAGGAACCTGCCAATAGAAAATTAACATCAACACTCAATAAAATGGGTGTTTTACAAACTTACAGGCGCCGTTTTGATGATTGGATCAAAGTCAAGGAATGGCACAATGGGGTATAGCAATCCCATCTCCATCTGGGTAGCCTTTTTAATGATGGAAGATGCTGGGAGTGCATCGATGAAAGTGCAGAATGGGTCTCTCTGAAACCCCTCTGCAGCGTCGAAGGAGGTTTGGTTGACATTGGAGGCGAAGGATGGGTCCATTTGAACATAATCTTTAACGTCAAAGGGAACTGAGGTGGTACCAGTGGAGGTCAAGGTTGAGATTGGTTGACACATTTCTTAGATGCTGGTTCGCAAGGCCTGGATATATAGACTTTCGGCGATATATTTCGAAAAGGCAAATCGATATCGACTTTATTGATCTGATTTATGGATGCTGGTAATATCTTTTTTTTTTACTGGCTGACAAAGCTAATTGAAGAGTTGATGTTGATGGTGAGAGGGGCATTTGAGGGGCATCTTAAATATAAATGGATTTCGAGTCGAAGGCAAAACGCTTCGACATACCTTCGAGCTTATTCACGATCACGATATTCCCTGTTAATTCAAGCTGTTCCATACTATGCTAGCACTTTACTAGTCTCTAGCTAGAATAGGGAAGTGCTATACGTTCTTTTCTTCTTCTTGCTAATACATTATATGACATTATAATTTATTATTTCCGAATGGCTAAGTCAACTTGAAAAGCTATTGGCCGCAATGCGAAAGGTTTACCTTGATTACTTAGGTGAAAGGAATAAGTAAATTGGTATATGACATGCTGTCTGAGCGAGCGTGGGAGTCAAGAATTACCGGATTGCGGCAGGAATAGTACGTACCAACCTCTCGATCGAAAGCACAGAGCTCTCATTGAAATCGATCTCCGGACTAGTCGGAGTATTATTTGAGCCCTAATGCCACCTGCATAATATGTGTGAGGGGCAGATAATCGTCCATGCGCTCCGTTCATTTCATCAACGTCAAAGCGGCTGCAGTTGACAGAAGAATTAATTCCCCCGGTACCTGATTTCCTATTTATCGTCATGCAGCATTCACCTTTTCTCTCGGTACCGGAATGCAGAGATCAACAATTGGCGACGCTTAACCACATATTCCCGAACCAAAGTCTGGATGCTGGGTCGACTCCAATATATTTGGGTGGCTTCTGTACAAGGATCATGATATCGATCACTATGTCATGATAAGTGTTGGGAACATACATGAGTGCGCGTGTCGACATGAGTTAGTTAAAAGTATCAAGCACTCTGTGCTGGAATATTTCACTTGGATGCCCGACGAGTTTCTAAAAAAGAAATAGCCAACGTCCCTGGCGCACGGGTTCGGGTCACATTGCAATATTGATGCCTTGATGGCATTCCCATCTATTTTGATTGGAGCGGTTCTTAGGCTTGGAACGCTTCGACTACGAAGAAGAAACTTCAGCTTGAATTGTTAGAGACACCAAAACAATAGTCTTAGAAGAAACCTGGCGGTATCTCCTTTATGTACGGCCTCTTCCGTAGGCTCAGGGAAGTACATTTCTACTCATATTCCTCTTCAGGTCTATGATATTGAACATGACAGAATGCTTTCATAAAACAGGCTAGTTTAAATGAAGACTGACTTCAAGCTCTGCAGAAATCATCATTCTGCATTCACGCATATATATCACGCTTCTTTTTGCCGAAGGAATGGTATGCATATCGGATCCACCTGAAAAAAGCCCAAGATAGGTTGTGATCGCTATTCGACTAGGCTTTCCATGTGCGATACTCTAGACTGCTGGGTACATATGTATGTACAAGTATGTACATACGTTCTCCACAAGCTAAGTACATACATGTACATATTCCCTAGCAGGAACCACCCGGTACCGCGAAATCAACACAAGATCGTCTGCGCTAATCTAAGCAAATTTAAACCAAAGCCAATTAAGATTGAGTCACTACTAAGAATTGAGAAATATCGCCGTTTTTGCATTTCAAATGGCGCTGAAACGGATTCATATCGAATAAAAAAAAATAACTACTTCATAGATTTTCGGAAGGCCTTGATGAAATTGCGCTGCCTTTTAAGGCAAACAAATTTGCGCCCAGAATTTTGATGAATAGTGGAAAGGACTGTACTCATATTCCCAAACCCAGGTTCATTACCAGTTATGCATTTGTGCGGACTTGGTATATCTTCACTCTAACTGCGTGTTATGTACTCGAGTATATACATGTATATATGTACATACGTATGACAGGGACCAGAAATACGGTATGGAGCTTTATAATTGAATAGAGTGGAAAATGAATCTAATCTCTGCGGTGTGGTAAGTTCTCCATCTCGACAGGTCTATGGTCATAGATATTTTCACACCAGCCCAAAGGATCCCTCCTCATATACTCCTAACATACGTACGCAACTTTTCAGCACGGATGGTTGTGGTGTTTCCGTAAGATATGTGCCGCGCTCAGGCGTTATATGTACTGGCATATTCATTGAGGGATTGCCCTATGATGAAAAGTTAGCTGAGAAGGATTTTAACAATTCGTGCGATGCAGCTAGTCAGTGGCAGCTAGAAAGGCCCGCGACATCAATTGGGTACCAATTAGCCCAGGAATATGAGGCAAGTTGGGATCGACCGTACGCCATGTGCTCATTGAACTAGAACATGCAGTTTGAAACATTACAGGGAGGAACCGTATAGTAGGGACTCGGCCGGCTGAGGCAACCGAGTTCTCGCATGATCTTCTAACTGGGCTGGGCTGAACCCTTGCAATTGCATAGTACAGCTGCAAGACCTATCAAAACTCCCTGTAATACAATAACGCTAGACCATAGTTTAGAGGGAATTTGTTAACAAAATCAGAGTTTGTATCCCTGTAGCTCTCTTTGAATGCTAAAAGCTGGGTCTTGCTCTACATACTTAGTATCATGTCGACATGGAAAGACACGAATTAAGAGACGTCTACTTAGCCCCACCAGGACTTGAAAGTCCGAGGACACGTTATACTTTGTTTTTGATTTGCTTTTTTCATTCCCTTCGCTTGAGATCTTCGAAAGGAGACAGGCGTTCTAATGCTAACTATGCATAGGGAGCAAGGTAGGTAGACACAGTTGGAGGACTGGATTCAGGTCTTGACGAACATACTTGTAATTTCAAGTGTTGAGTCGAGTTGATGTTTGACAATAATCATAGTTCTATCATTGGCAATTGGTCTCGAAGTCATATTCTTTGTTCTATCTCCCTTCCCTGCACGAGACAATTTTACAAGAAGCCTTGTATCCAAGCTTCCTGCATCAAGGTAAACTAGATACGCCCCCCGCCTCGTGACCCGGCCCACTGACATATGTAGACACCCTCGTGCTTCCAAAATATGCCGTCATCTTCCACCCCTAAAGTCACGTCACTCTTGGCATGCACTTCATGCTGATATTAATACTGTTTATCTACATAGATTCTCATAAATATAAGACACGGTTTGGCTTTCGCCAAGTGAATCTTTAGCTACTATTAATCGACACTAGGTCACAAACCTCAAGCGCCATTCTTAATATAAATCCAAGATGCATTGAGAGGATTCGAGTATGATATTGCGAGTTATGTGATTAACATGGACCTTATCATACGTTCCTCTAGCTTCCTACTTATTCTTTACTCCACTACAAAACAATATCACCCATTCACTAAATATATCCATCGTTATTGTTACCACTCACGAAACCAAGAGTCTATCACCGAGATTGGGTCTGGGCATCAGGAATTTGGGTCCCGTTGGGATTTTTCCACTGGGAACAGATCTATTCGATATAGTTAAACACGTGACATTTTATACGGCAAGTTTGTTTTTGTTCGGCCAGACATCAATTTCTTAAGCATATCCCACATAGGCCTATCATGTACATGTGTTCACGTCTAGGTTACATCGGGCGTCGCAGCGTCTGCCTCACCCCCTTGGAAAAATCGGGTGGGGGGAGCATTGTGGTATCTTACCATAGGGCTTCGGACTGCGCGTCGCTTTTATCACGCCTTATGAACTGATGGGATCCGGGATGCTTGATGAGTGGATGATGCAAATTTATTTGGCATCTTTCCCGATTGTATGCCAGATAAACTCATGGCTGCTCATAAAGCTTTAAAACTCAACCCTGCTATTAGTCCGACCCCAAATTTTCGTTCAATCAATTAACCAATTTTACACAGTCCACCCCCCCCCCCCTCCCCCCAGTAAACCGAGGACTACATACTTTAAATGTCGCCGCAAGATTACGTGCTGGATTTTGATTCAGACTCTTCGATATGGAAAGATAATTCACAAAAGTGCGACTTTATGCACTGAATATAATATAATGAAGAGGATCCTCATTGTAAGTAATGGGCTAGAGCTGATAGTCTTAGCCTTGGTGGTTGGACAGGTAGCCGCCTTAGGCCCAAAAATTAGAAGATTTTTAAAACTCGGAAAGCCCTGAGGAAACCATTGGTTCAACTGAGTAGCGATTTTAATTTTGCCTCAGGGTTTAAACTTTATTGGTCATGATCATTGATCGTGAAGACCACCGTCTGATGAATATCGATTCCGACATGTATCATTGCAAAGGCCAGTTCCAGCAGCCCTCCCAGCCTGAGCCACGTATAGAATGTTGAATTCTGAACTGCATGTGTTAGTGGCGAATTCGGCACAACGGTGTGAAGTTCATCGGTGTTGAGGATTTCCATGTGCGTAGATACATACTTCATACATTGGTTACTGAAACAGCGGCTTTGTCTCGGGTGGTGCTCGCTGCCAAGAGCCGCTGGGTGGAGAAACATAGTATCTTAAGCTCTGCTGTTTGAGAGGTTCATGAATGTTTATAGTAGCCAGGTAACTGGGAAGCGCCATAAGCCTATTTTGCCGGCTCGCTCTTTAGGAGATGCCGTATCAACGTTGTTGGGCCAATTATCAGTGGTGGCCACGGAATACAAATTGGTGGGTGCGAGCCACCAAAGTGACCTCATGAGAGGTAAGACAAGCAGAACAAATCAGAACTCACCTCTCGTGACACCAGGAGTATTGCGTGTTCATCCTATTTCCAGCTGCTTTCTTCTACCCCCTCATATCAAAATACATAGAGTAGCGTGTAGGTATGGGTGCTTCGATGCAACCAACTGGCACCCAGAGGGGGGCGGATATTGCCCCGACTCCGTGGAGGATCTGCTCCAGATCAGAAAAGACACACTGTTGAATATACGCTTCGGATAACCCACTGAACCAAAGAAAAGAGGATAATCAGATCTGATACTTAATTTCCTCGAGAACATCCAGGGTCGAATATTGCTTCTTGCTAGAAGCGAAACTCAAGAAGCGAGCAAGCATGAATAATGCATTTCATCCTGCTACTAGCCGTACAACTAAATAAACAGATAAAGTACATGTATGTACATACAAGCGCTTCCTATGTTGAGGTTAGGTAGTAACCACCTTGCCATCATTGGCACATAAGCTGTGAGAGTGATAAACCGTGATGCAGGTCAATTCATCTTAATGCAGGGCAACGTAGCAATGAAAAGAAAAAGATAATGAAAGAAAGGCAGGGACTCTCCCACAGGAAATACTGCTTGTAGATCGCGTGATAAGTGTCACACAGATGGCTATTGATGCGGCTCAACGTCGGAGGTTGAGGTACATACGCACGGATGCATGTGGGTGATCATGGGTAGGTAGAGTCCCAGAGTACATATACTATCTTTTAGATTTAAGTTGACTTTACATTTTATCCTGAGGGATAAAAATCCTCGATGCCACATTGCGCAGTATGATGATCAAGAAGATGCTCTCGTCGAAAGATTCGGCAGAAGAAGGACCGAGGCCGGGCTACGACCAACGACTAACGAGAAAATCGTGCAAGAATAGCCTTGGTGGCCAGGTTTGGCAGTAGCAAGCAGCAGTTTTCCCTCTTTCTAGTCTTATCTTACTTGATGTTTCTTCTTCAAACGTGCACATATGCGTACACTGCACGTTATAGACAATAGGCGCAGTGTGGAAATCGATTCACGAATTACAGGTCTCGATTGCTGCGCGGAGGATGTAAACCAATCTGTTGGTAAGTGTCTGTGTGCTATGGGGATGTGTCTATCCAAGATATCCTAGCTAGATACAGAACCAAGCGAGTGAACCGCCACATAGCTACCGCTAGCTGCACCTCTGCTCTAGCTAGACATCACCCTGACCGTCTAATTCCAAGGAAGAGAACATTCCGCATGTTCACTACATGTACTCTAGCTACGCCATGCAATTGATGTCGCAACATTAATCGTTAGAGTTCTTTCTCGCCTAGACCTATAAGCCACCACCGGACCACCTACAAGCTAGGTCTCCATAGTGGGGGGCATCCATCCCCTCCACCTCAGACCTCGACTTTCATGAGGGTCGAATCGATCGACATATGAGTCTATCGGGTCTCAGCCAGACAAATGGGCCTGATCTTTGGGATTAGAATTTAAATCCCCCTAGCATTAAAAACGTTATCTGTGCCACAGCTGGGTGTGTGATCTGAGCGTTGGGGGAGTTGACAATTGAGATCATAGCAAAGTCGAAAGTGCACAGTCCCTTGTCAATGTTTAGAAGTAGCTGAAGAGCAAGCCTACCGTGGGCCCACCCCCTCTACCCCTCCTCCAAGCGTCTATTACGTCCTATGTCATGATTTACTAACAAAAAAAAAGCAAAGTGAAAAGAAAGGTATGCACGCGGTAAATACTCCGAGGCCAACCCAAATGAATGTAAGCTCATAGGTTCAAAGCGAGAGGAGGTCAAAGACATGATGTGATATTATATTGCTATCCTTCTTGTCGCCCGGTGTATAAGATTTAATCTACGAGGCTGATCTCAGACATGAGATCTAGGATTATACTAGCTCCGGATTATTGCTCCGAGACTTCTCGAAATAGGGTTGAAAATCATCAAATTCAGCTCCATAGACTCTATCCAACTGATTGGCGCCGATCGATTTCAATCGGCCCAGAACCAGGGCTGGGGGACTTTGCGCAAAGGGACCTCTAACAGCCAGGTATTCGGGACGGGCTTTACGTTATCCGGGTATCGTATAACATTATGGGCTAGTGTCTAATTTCCTCCGCGGAATCTGGAATTTTAACTGAGCTAAATTATGAGTGGTAAATATTAAGGAACGACAAGTCTCACAATTGTTGACTCACTTACTCGCGTCATAGAAATGTTTTTCCTGTGCACGGCAATGAAAGGTCTGAAAAGTCGCCGTTTCTAAAGCATTCTCGGAGATGGCCAGAGCATGAGGGAGCACAGATAATGCGGCTTCACCATCATTGGAATCTTTTAGCTACGATTGAAATTCAAAGGCGTTGAGTCAGAAATCAAGGCAAGGTGTCTACCAACCACACTCACCTACTCCTATTGGTCACGGTGAATATACAATTCCTCTAATGTATCCGCCGAGCGCGAGCGACCGAAAAGAAGGAGCCCTTCCAACTGAATGTTTGTTCCACTCCAGCTCCTTCCGTCATATATGACATCGGTCACCTTACCTCTGGGTAAACATTATGCACACGACGGAGCGGGATCTCGGGGAATCTCGTGGTGTATATGCAGGGGCGTATCTAAGTCACTGCTGTAGAGGGAAACTATATCCATCCCTTCATTTCCATTTTACGAGCGAAATATTCTGAATAATTGGGCATATGGAGAAGTTCATTGTGTTGACTCTGTTTTGTTTAATTTTATACAACCAGGTATGTATATACTACTATCGCAGTACCAAGCCAATAATTACACTACTCTGAGTTTTTATATTTCGTGAACAGCGCCCAATTTCAGGCTTGTAGTCTCTTTTTATTGATTGCTTCATAGTAATTCCGAAGTAGACTCTAATTTATAATTGCCGATTAATAGCGCGGCTTCCCGTAGATGGCAGACAAATGTATAATTTGTTGCGGGGTGTGTAGTTAGTCTGTCGTCCATTGCAGGCAGACCCACAGGAAGCGGTGACAGCATTAAACCAGAAAAACTATAGAGTTTGCATAACTACTATGATTGCTTTTCTGTATCCCAGGGTATTGTGGTATGATAAGTAGCATTTATCTGCTGCTTGCCGGAAATCTAGATCATGGTTCGTCACTCGTCATATTAGCTCTACCTAAATTCCGCCTCTTAATGGTATGTATTTTCGCTATTTGCCAGATGTTCACACAGAAACATGGCCATAAAATAAACTATTTGGCTTGTAACTCTGACACATCAACTTCCTGTAGCTTCAGGTCATGTTTCGGGACCTGCAGAAAAACGATTTCCCGGTATATATACATTACTTTCCCATAAACAGCTGCCCATGTGGTAAATTAACGAGTGACTATAGAGAGCGGAAGAGGGGTACGGGTTCAGCGGGACCAAGCAGAACTCAGACAGACAAAATGCACACACATCCATATAAATTGCCCTCTCATCTTCATTCTGTCACGAGCAGTCAGTTTTATCAACTAGCGTTAATCTGTACATAAAAAGACGATTCGTCGGTACAAGTCGTGAGGTTTTCCATTGATAGAGTCAGACAATTCTACTGGAAGTAATTAATACATAAAGCGTAGTTTAAATTTTAAATAATTTATTATATATACACTTTGAATACATGTATATACATGATGCTACTACCAGTCTTTCGGAAACGGCGCAAATTCAATGTCAGGATAGGTGCATGCATGTACTCCAAGCACAAAATATAATACCAGCAGGCGTTATCCAAAATTATAATAGTTGTCAGCGGAGATCGGTGTCAAAATCTCAGCGTTCGGCGCAGTAAAATGCCGCAGGAGGGCCGCTGAACAACGAAACTAGCAGGTTCCCAGTAGCACTATCAATTTAAGACTGGCACTGGGACGTGGGGATGTAATATAACCAGGTACATAAGAACTTAAAACCAACAAAAACGGAAGAAAGAGAAAGAAAAAAAAGCAGGCGACCGTAACAACCATACTGTCAGGTCCTCGATCTCTTCTTGGGGTTATATATCACGGACCACGTCACTCAAAATCTAGTCCGGCAATTGTAATCTACAGCTTTGTGAGATTTGATCTTGCTAAGTTTCCCCATGTATACAATCAATTTGGGTTCACGATACAGACAAAGACCTTTAATTAGTGTACAGGTACATAGGTTTTATGACTTGATATATACTTGGGTTGCACCTAACCCACGATCTAGAACGGCAGATGCTTACTGGTAGCAAAACGGCATATCGCCAATAGAGTATTGCCGTGCTACCAAAACTAGATTGCACTTACGGGTCTGCATGCAACGGCAGCACAAAGCTCACCGACTATTTTACATAAGCCTAGCCCTCGGGTTAAAACATTAGATAATGCCGGTAGGTCTCCTTCTTTCTTAACCGCCAAACTGGAACCGTGATGTGGGAAACCGTGGATATATACATACGTGGTGCTCCGCGTATATCCCGTTTATCTCCGTTCTGGCCGGTCCAATACCCGCGACCCTTTAGGCTTCCAGCATACTAAAAACGAATATTTACCTCCTTCTATCTACCGCGCGCTATAGCTTAACCGACAAAGCACGGAGCATGCTCATATCCTTTCATTCCGCTCCCAAGCGCAGGAAGTCTCACAACTACATCAAGTTCTTCTACAAAGTGGAGAGGCGTTATTTAATTCCCTTGAAACTTCAACTAGCCCGAATATGACCGAATTCATGAAAAGGACTCGAAATCACAATGCTGTATTATCGTCATTGAACATTGAGCATAGATCAAAGCTTGTAGAGATCATCATGATATCATATAATACCAACAACTTGGTTATATAGGGCGTATCTGTCCAGGGCTCAATTGATAACTCGGGGTTCTGTCCAATCAGGCGTTAGGTATGTCAATTCGGGTTTGCCAGCAATTTTGAGAAGTAGTGATTAATCCGCTGTGATGACTAGACAGACATGTGCGGGCTTGATTATGAAGCTGTCGACATCAAGGACTTGTAAGTACATATACTAACGCATTAAATGCCGATTATCTCCCCATTCAATAAATGATCTTTGGTTTTGAACGCAGGCACACATACACACGCGTGGCATCTTACTTGTAAAAGACAAGACCTGGTTTTGTGAGCATGCAGCGGATGTATTCAAGGCAATTTCTTGACATATTTTGAGAATCATGCATAGCCAGTTTCGGTCCCCGAAAAAAAAAAAAGAAAAAAAAAAAAAAGACGCCTCACGAACCATGCCGCCTGATGTGCAATACAGGTTTTCATACCGAAATATTTCTCGATCGATAGAGCAGGCCGAAGTTGATGGCGGTAAGCGAGCGGACATTGTTGTATGTCTCTACCCAGTCCTATCAATTCTACTCAAACTCTACGCACGGCACATGTCAACAGCAAACTTTATCGTAGGAAATACAATCCTTAAACTCCCGTAGTATTCCGATGGACTTTCTAAATGCGCATTATGAGAGTAGCCGTAGTTTACACATAAGGATAATTAACAGAAAGAAATAAAGAAAGAAGCAAAAACCCCGCGCCTAAAGGAAAATTATAAACCACATGGAATTAGTACCTGCCTGCCATACCACCGCATATACCGGCTGCTTTTCAACACTAGATTTTTCTACATCTTCAATAGCTAGATATAGGGAGTCGGAATTGTCGCTTGAAACTTATCGTATAATATCGCAAGAAATTACCGATAATGTGATCTCACATCTGTGCGCGGGTAGTTTTTTCGTATTGCTCGATAAGAATACTCGAGAGTAGACACGGGATGCTATTTCTTGCCATCCAAAACGTGCACTGGTTTTTGATCTCCCTACGAAACATACTATTAGGCCCGCCAGAGACCTTCATCGTACCTATTGTGATTAAGAAGTTAGTAATTTCAAACATGTTAACACTCCTGCAGCAGTCCATCCTCCAGTTCGGTAGATCACAGGATCTACCGGTTTTACAGCTTTTGGAAGACAGCGTTTCTCGCGAAAACACGTTTAGCTTACCTTTCTCTCCATCAAACTCGATGCTTTGTTCATCGGAGTTACCTGCAAACATATGTGTAACCTTAACCCTACCATTAGGCAAGAAATCCAACTTCCATCCAAGTAGTGAAAAGACTGCTTCGCGAAACTCCATCGACTTTGCTGCCCAAATTTCTTTCAGTCTTAGCATCCTTTTCTCCTTATCCGCAACGGTCTTTTCCATCGCCTGTATCTCTTTTCGTGCATTTTCAAGAGTGCGTAATGGTACCACTTTGTTATTGTTGCTAGGTAGAGTTTCGAGGCGGTCCTCGAGCTGCGCCAACAGCGCAGCATTTTCTTCGCGAAGAGCTATGAGCGTCTCTGTTTTGATTGCTTCTTCGCGGGAGGCGGGATTATCCTTCAATTGGAGGATGCGAGTGGAGGTGGATGATGCAGAGGCTAGACGGATGTTGAGCGATTCAATTTCTTTCTTTGACATCTGTAACGATTGTTGGAGTTGTGTAATATCTAATAAAACAGTCAGCAAGAAGAAACCGAAGATATTGGGTGTGGTTGGGAAGGTACGGTACCCTCTTGTAACTGTCTATTCTTTCTCATCATTTCTCCCATCCTCCTGTTCTCGTCCTCATCATCCTCCCTCGATCTCTTTCTAGGGTTGAATTCATTTTCTGCTACCCCCTCTTTCTTTACAACATCCACAAGCAAACTTTCATTTTCCTTTTTATATGTCTCTAGCAGCACTTCCAGCTCTTCAATGCGCTTAGTCTTTTGTTCGTCAAAACTTCCTTCCATATACATTTTCTCCTCCGTCGAGAAACTTTTCAGTTGATCCCTTAGAAACTGCGCTTCCTTCATAGCCAGCGCGCGTTGCCTTTCCAGCCTTTGTCTTGCCCTTGAATCCTTCGCCAAGTCTTCTTTTGTTTTCTCGAACTCCCTTCTTATGGTGCTCAGCTCTGACTCGAGACGTTGAATAGACTCCTCTTTCTCTGTTATTTCTGGGTTGGTACGTCCTGCTTTCTCGATTAAAGCGGCCTTTTCAACCCGCTCGTGAACCAATGCTCGGGCAAGGGCCTCTGGAGAGTCGAATTCAAGGCCTTCAGACTCAAAGTAGCTGCTCCAAGAATTCCGCTCGTCTTGCAAGATGGAGACACGAAGCTGGGCCTCCGATATCTCGTGGCGGAGAGTATCCATCATCCGAACCTTTGACTCAAGTGCCTGTTTCTCTTCCTCTAGGATTTCGATTGACTTGTTGTGATCCCGTAACTGTTTTAACTCTTGTGTTTGTTTTCGGCTGGTGACCTCGAGTGTTTTGATATGTGTCACTTGTTCTTTTTTATTGTCAATGGGTCTGTATATAAATAAGGTTATTACTAAACTCACCTGAAAGTTCCTTTTTTAAAATCTTCAATGTGTCCAGGTCCCCCGTCTGTGCTCTAGCTTTCAATAATTCTGTTTCTAGATTACCCAGCTCTGCTTCCTTCGTGCTTAGAGACGTCTGAGTCTGTTGTAGATCAAGGCTTTTCGCTTCCAATTCCTCGCCCATTTCTTTATTCATTTTCACCAAGGCTTCATTCCGAGACTTTAGGTCGGCCACTTGCTGCCGGTATTTACGGTCCTGACTTTGTGTATCTTCGTCCTTTTCGCAGACTGTTTCTCTCAACGAAGTATTCTCTGCTTTGAGCATTCGAATCTGTCGCTCCAGATCTTGCTATAGGATAAAGTATATCATTAGTAAATAATTATATCCACAAACATTTTGCTGAAGCAAGAGATATACCTTGTGACTTGTAGCCTGGTCCTTAACCTTCTGTAGTTTCTCTGAAAGATCTTTTTGCTTATCGAACAAATACCGTTTGTCTGCTTCACTAGCCTACCCCACGCATTAGTTCCCATAAGATAACACATCGCCTCTTACCAGGAAGAAAAACCGACATCTGATTTCTTACTCTGCTCCTCAAGTTTTGACTGTAACTCCCTTATTTCTTTTTCATGTCGAATTTTTTCCAACTCTCGCTCCTCCTGTAGCGTAGAAAGCTCATAACGCACTGAGTTTAGATCGGCCCGAATTCCCTCGTTCGATAAATCTACTCCTAGTCAGTAATGAAAGACTCGCCGAGTGAAACGTTGGGACGAGAAAGTACCTGCTTTTGTGCCCACTCCCACTGGCAGGTATGACCGCTGCTGGGTTGTTTGCGGAGATTGCGAAAGTTCAGGAGGCGGAGGGAGGGTGTAGCTCTGCTCTGCTGGAGTTCGCCGACCATCACTCTGTACATCACTCGGCAGCAGTTTAGTGAATGCCTTGAGGGTGCAAAGAGCATCACTCACCACTCGTTGATTTGCGAACAAGGTTCGATTCGGGGGAGCTCTCTGTCCTCGACTTGCTGGTGAGCCGAGTGTTTGGTTCCCAGGGCCACGAGCAGGAAGATTCCTATTTGGGGTTTGAGAGAAGGGAGAAGAATCCATTATGGTTGAGGGGTGGGACGCGTTGATTCACAGATGTGTTTGGTGTTTGTGTTTTCGCGATTTCCGCGATGGCGTATGACGTGTCATGTGATGCGGCTCAAATATCATCGGATGATGTAAACTTGTAGGTACGCACGTGCACCCTATCATAGCAGCTGGCAGTACATACTAGTACAATTGCGGATTTGATTAATGAAACAAACCTATTGCAGCTACAAAAGCAGCTACAAAACGCACTTTATCCCTCATTGGTTTTTTTTGCAAATGAGTAAGTATTAACTACATGATCTCCGTACGTTTATCGACGAGAATCATTGTCTTTACTTATACATACTCTCAGTCCTGCATGTTGTTACACACACACATGTACAAAACCATTAACTTGGTACGTCCAATTTACAAATATTAGGAAACCGCGAGGCCGAGGAGAAGTACTATTCTTTCCTCCCCTCACGTTCGTCCCTAGGTCTCAGGCTCTAACAGAAACCTCAGGCATATTGGCGTTCTAACAGAAGCTCTAGGTTCAATTAGATGCATGTACGGAGGCTTTGAAGGCATATGGAACCTTGTCGACATCGGGATTTATCCTGCTCTTCACAGTTTTACAAACAGATCATATATTTTCTTCTTCAGAATGGCTTGAAACCTCCAAATCCTCATTAAATAAGTCATTCCTAATCTGCGGTGATCATACAGTGTGCATTGAATTAAAAGAACGCGCCCTGTATGGCCTCCAGCCGATAATTTCTATAGGTGAGGTAGTCCTGGGAGGATAAATGTATACTTGTTTACCTGCACACAGACCAGAAAATTTGAGTGTTAGAGTAAAGCTAAGGGTTATTTCTATGGAGTGGCGCTGTTTTACCATACACATAACCCTTATTTTGGCTCTTCGCATTTTCTAGTTCATATGCTGGTAAGCAAGATGTATGTATTTCTGTGGCAGTCAATGATCTGTATGGGTTTTGCTGTATCGAGTATGCAACAGAGCTTATTATAGCTGCATTTGGAAAAGCCGTTATAGAGCGTGCATCCAGTGGATCATTAGGGCTTTCCGGTGACCTCCAGTTGCTACATACACCTTGTGCATCCATGTCAGTCAAGTACATGTACATATATTCGTATAAACCTACAGGATGAGCTTTCACCCCGGGCCCCTCAAACATAGATCGGACGCCGAAAAATTACTTGGGCGCTAATGGCGGTAAGTAGATACATGTATTCATAGATATATATTCTCGTTACTTGTCTCATCTTCAGGATCGGAATATAAATTCCGGCTTCACGCCTCTGTTTTTGCTCGCGGACTAGACTTCCTGCCACTGGTTTCAACATGACGTCCTTCTGCTCTCCACGCTAGCATTCGACATGAATCACATTCAGTATGTAGTAGGGTCTCGCATCAAATTCTCTATCTATATTGTGTCCAAAGCTGACCTAGACATTACCTATAGACTAGCGTGCCGCAGTGGTCCGCCTCTTTTACTGCAAGATCTCTACTAACATCTAGCAGGGATCAAAGCATCTGCAAAAGGTCATGTATTACATGTATATTTGTCATTTTAAAGGCTCTACTCGATTCTCAGATACAGACGACGTGCAAAAGTATCCCACGATCGAATATGTCCACCAACAGTTTTACTTTGGTTTGAACTCGCCCAGTATCGTTTTCCGTTCGTTTCAGTGCTGTTGATGTCTCAAAAAATGGTGGTTTCCGTTGAGGTATTGGACCAGTACGGTGCCCATTGAGCTGAAAGTATCAAATCCACATTTTCTCTAGTATAGAGTAATCAAAGTCGACGCTTTGGTAAACTAACGCTAACTTGTTTCCTTAAATCTTTTTGGTCAGAAAAAAAAAGAAAGAAACCACAGTTGAGTAAACTCTTATGGAAAAGCTCACGATCGACAGTACGTATACCTTTAATGTCTCACAAGGAAAATATATAAATAAAATGAGAACTGATATATGCTCGATTGTAATTTTTATATCAGCTGTCAAAGGCCTACAAAACAACGCATCAGTGGAGAAGCTACGCCAAAAGAATATGCCCGATTAATCCAATAGGTAGTGGTGAACCCGAACATTCCCGACACTGAATGCATGTTATACGTAGTCACGTCTCCTGCACCCTGCCACCAATATTCATTGAATTCGTGGATAACAGATACATGCATACGTATTTTGAAACTTACCTTGCTTTCACACTCGACCAGAAGAAAAATCGAATAACCCAACACATCCGAGGCATTTTTAGCGGTCGTGCTACGAGTTATAGCAAATCAGAAACACAGCATGCTCGATGTTGAAAGGTGGGTCGGTAATCATGTTTTATCACTCGATTTATCGTCAAAATGTCAGATTTTTGTTTTTTTGTTTAATTCATTAAGTCAAAATGTCAGATGATCACAGCCAGCATAATTTCTTTAGCCAAAAAGGGTTAAGACCATTCCCAAGGCTGGGATTTATCCATATGGTCAAACATTTCTCATCTAATACGAGATACGATACATCATGCATATATATGATGTAGGTTTCCACCACTAATGTTGGGTTACAACACATTGCCACGCTGCGCGCATTAGTTGAAACTTATGTTCATATGCCATCAGGGAGCAGAAGGTCGCTATTTGAAGGCTACAAGCTATTTATCCCGGTGGAGTTACATAAACAGTGTGGTCCACGAGGCATTGACGCTCGAGGCCTCGCCTCGAGAGAGCTCAAGGCGTGGGGGGTCGACAAGGCGAGCATACTCGAGGCTAACCTCTTACTCGCCTCGAACTGCTCGAGGTTTAGGTAATCATAGTATTAGTGGCATATCTAATAAGTATATAGATATACCGATATGCAATGTGTTATTTAAAGGTTTTGATTGACCAGGTTTGAGGGGTTTTCTTTTTCTCTATCAAATATGTTTGTCAGTAAGTAGATATTCTATCAAATATGTTGGAGTTAGTAGATATTCTATCAAATATGTTTGAGTCAGCCAGTAGATATTGGTTCCAACATACCTTGAGTCAACCAAATAGTATATCAGATATGTGCACAGGGCATCTTGGGGTTTCAGTGATCTTAAGCGTTGGTAAACTGATATTGTTTAAGCCATAACAGTTCCTACTCCGGCCAAAGGCCGGAAAATGCTTGTACTCAGTAGGGTTGATATTTCCGATAGGAACATTGGGAGTATTCCTTACATTTGCGTACCAGTATTACAATAAAATGCAGTTTTGACAGATCTAAATATAGTAATTATCTGCCTCGAGACAGCTCGAGCACCTCGAGGCAACACCCCTCTTTTCACGAGCAAGCAAAGGCATGGACCATACGAGGCAGAGGCATCTCGAGGCACTTGCCTCCACTCGCCTCGAGCAGCCTCGTGGACCACACTATGCCTTTCCCTACACACCCCCGCGGGAAATGTCGTCATCAAAGCCTTATTCCAAGAAGATACCCTGCAAAAAAAAAAAAAAAACGATTGTATAGGTTATTCTTATAACAATTCGTAGTTTAATGGTTCTGTTCTATTCTAGCTATTGAATGTACTAGGGTTCGAATCCTAGCAAAGGTATTATTTTTAAATGATATTTTAGCTATTATGGGTTAAGGTAGAAGGAAAGTCGTCTGGAAAGTCGTCCACTTGCGCTCGGGATGCATTTTCTGATCCATTTCCTGATTCATTCCCAGATGCATTAATATTTCGAGATGCCTTTCCCCACACAAAATATAGGTATAAAAGGGATGCATTTCCTGATGCATTTACTTTGCTAGTAGAGCTATATAATTGATTCTGTAGCACTACGTACAGCATCTCTTCTTTTTTAGAAATGCCTAACAAAGTTTATATTGAAACAGGGATATATTGATAACGTAACTTCGTCATTAGTACTTGTGTTAAGAATTATTTTGTTTAGATCCTGCCTCAAATCTTTATCGCATTCAAATAGGCCCAGGATATTCGGCCAGGGTGATCGATGAAACTCCTTTTGGGAGCTTTACTTACAGTTTAATAGTGTTTAGCACTTACTTATCAATAATCGCCCCACCTACCTATATGCACTTCGTTAGTTGCGTTACTACATGTATTTCTCACTGTGTGGACGATATGGAACAAACATTTACTACCAAAGTGGATGAATGAACATGTTGGGCATTATGGGATATCACTCGATGTTCATCCCAGAACTCTGTTGATTTTTTTTAATTCATTAATTGCATAACCCTGTTGATTTATTGATTTATTGATTTATTGATTGATTGATTGATTGATTGATTGATTGATTGATTGATTGATTTATTGATTGATTGATTGATTGATTGATTGATTGATTGATTGATTGATTGATTGATTGATTGATTGATTGATTGATTGATTGATTGATTGATTGATTGATTGATTGATTGATTGATTGATTGATAGTTCATTGATAGTTCATTGAGATATGGCATCCGAGCCTAGGAAAAGATCTGTTGTCAGTACTGTAGTATTGGGATTATGAGCAGTGTGCGAGTAATGTTTAGTACCCAGTATTAATTTATATAGGGTAGATGGTCATTCTTACATCTTAGTTTAATTTTCTATATATATTCCCGCCGGCGCCCCTAAATTTAACATATTCATGTAACGTACATGTAGTATAATATAACCATGTTGCGCGGCCAGTGGTATCTGTTCCTATTGGTGAGAGGAAAATCGTCAAATTATTGCACTAATGTCAATGATGCCGATCTGATGAATTCTATCGATTAATTTATTCTCATGACCATGCCTGACGTGACGTTTGAATTCGTATATGTTCATTATATGCGTATTGCAAAGACATAGATATCATTTCCTTGCCAGAAGCGCCATTCCTCAACCTAATAATCACTTTGATCTCTCCCTGGGCTCTTACCAACAGATTTTCACCGGGCACCAGGTATCGGGTATATAACAACGGAAGGTACCTTAGCCCCGCCCCCACTACACACATTCAATTCATGAATTTTACCATCTAATCAGTCT